GTCTAGGGGCATAGGACCAGGTTTTCCCCAGGTGCCCAAGACTCATAACATTCAGAGACTACCTCTCACTGATGGCCTGCTGAATCCCGCTAATTTTCATTATAGGGTCAGGAGGAACAACGGCAAAGCAAAGAACACGTGTAAAGAGGGTAAGGCTTTGTTCTCCTAGGCATTATAAATGTAATGAGCCAGAAGGAGGCTCATGGGAACACACGGAACCAAATGACCTAGGAAAAGAAGCATGAGAGGAGGAGGAGTCTCTGCCACCCTGAAATGTTATTGTTGGATCCTGTGATTTTTCTGAAATCTGCTGAAAAATCTAAAATCATTCTGAAATCAGAAATCATTATTGGGTGGTGGACTTTATAAATGCCAAAGATTTCTTGGAAATTATTAAAATTTACCTCTTGATTGCCTAATCGGAGTCTCACAGACTGACAGTGCATACCACCAACAGGAGTAGATTCACATAAACATTTATATACCACCCCAAACTGGAGCATTGACCGTTAAGATCCCGCTATCAAAGCCACCACTGATAGGAAGACATATGATTGAAAACACACGCATCCATACACTATTATGAATTCCACTATGGACTGATTTTAACTGTCTTAAACTTTATCTGACTTACCAGTTGGCAATTTTTGTTTTATTCATCAAACATTTTTTTTTCTAGCAAACTTTCCATAACATTGCTTTTCTGCCTCCAAATAACTATTTATCCATTCACTTCAAATTCCACCCCCAATACTCAAGATCAGCAATTGTATCTGTGTTTGTGCTTAACATTGAATTACATGTGTTATTTTTTTCCTTGTCTCCTTATAGAGATGCCACCGACTCTCTGCCCTGATTTCAAAACTATCCTTCTAGAAGTTAACTACTTGGATACTTCTTTTCTACTAGGTCAGCCGCCTCTTTCTTGTATTAACCCTGGAATTCAAGTTAGCCCTCATGGTCTGGTTTCTATGATGAGTCATACTCACCCTTCATCACAAATGAAGGTCACTTTTGCCCCAGGCTGTAAAGTAAGTGGCAATAGCACACGACCATTAGGGATATGGCCTGGGAATGTATCACATAATTTCACTAGGAGAAAAAGAAGAAGAAGTTAAGACTGTGTGTGAGGGGCAAAGAGAATGATCTGAAAATCCAATGAGTCTATTCACCTGTACACGTGGGGGCAGCCGGACTCCAGACTCCCTGGGGTGTGCAGCTCAGAGAAGCAGCCCCTCTGAGGTCATACCCTGCCTCACAGCTATAGAACACTTCCTGTCCAGGGGAAAAGTTATCTTCGTTGCTTGGGGTATGCACACCATGCAGGATTTCTGGGGGTGGCTGACACCCTATGTGGAAAGAATAAGTCCAAATTCCATGTTTGTTTTGGAGAAATGCTGTGCTAACCCCTAACCTTTCAAGGAGTTAGGAAATAGTATTTAAAGGCTTCGATAATTTGGATATGGAATGTCTCCCAAAGGGCCATCTGTTAAAGGCTTGGTCCCCAGCCAGGGGTAAGACTGGGAGGTAAAGGAACCTCTAAGAGTTTGGGCCTGGGCTGGGGCTGTAGCTCAGTGGCAGAGCACTTGCCTAGCAAGTGAGGTACTGGGTTGGATCCTTAGCACCACATAAAAATAAACAAATAAAATAAAGGCATTCTGTCCATCTACAACTACAAAAAAATTTAAAAACTAAAAAAAATAATAACATGACCTAAGTCCAGCATCTGAAGTCTTTGTGGATGGGGTTCCAGATCAGTTTAAAAAAAAAAAAAGAGCTGAGGCCTGGTGGGAAGTTTTAGGGCACTGGGGGTGTGGCTTCAAAGGGGATGTGGGACCCTGGTCTTTCTCTTCTTCTCTTTCATGTCCCAACATGAAGTGAAGTGAACAATATGCTTCACTATCTGCTCTCCACCAGGATGTACTGCCCCAAAGCAATAGGGAAAACCAACCATAGAGTGAGACCTTCTATAGTGTGAGACAAAACAATCATTTTCTTTCTCTACCAGTTGACTTATGTCAGTATTTGTTATAGTAACAGAAAGCTGACTAATACAGATGGGTTCAAGTATTACAGAGAAGGTCAAATGATATGCCACCCCCTCATTTTACTGAGATAGCAGTTTAACGAAGAGATGTAACAAGGCCTTATAGCTAGTAAGAGGTAGAGAAATAAGATGCAATTTTCCAGAATGAGGTCTTAATTCACTCGTAAGTCTCTAAGTCATGAGGTTCCTTCTCCTAGCTCTGACTATCCAGTACAGAATCATGAGTCCTGGTGGATTCTCCACCTGCATATATTCTAGGAAGGCAATCCTGATTTTCAGACTTATGGCTCAGGTTATGAGAAGGTCGCCTAGACCGGAGCCTATTTAACAGATTTCCCTTCCTCCTTACAGCACACTGTGACTAATGTGCAGTCCTCTGGACATGCTTACATTTCTCTGTCCTCTAAGCTGCTCTCTTAGTGACTGCACACATGGTTTGGTGGAAGAATTCTCAGACCCCTCCCTATCCCTAAGTATTAGCCATAACACCTCCCAGTTCACTGCTAAGCAACTATTGAGACGGAAGAACATAAGACGACCCATCAAGAAAAGAAATCCCCCAATAAGCCAGTCCTTGTAATAAGAGGACATATTATTTAGAGACTTAGAGTGTACCTTGACTTATGGGCCTTGTGGGTGCCTAGGGCCTCAGAACACATCTTTCTTACTTTCTTTCTTTCTTTCTTTTTTTTTTTTGGTACTGGGGATTGAATCCAGAGGTGCTTAACCACTGAGCCACATTCCCAGCCCTTTTTAATATATGTTTTTTTTGTTGTTGTTGTTGTTGTTGTTTGTTTTTTTTGACAGTATCTCCCTGAGTTGCTTAGGGCCTTGCTAAGTTGCTGAGGCTGGCTTTGAACTCTTGAAGCCTCCTGTCTCAGTTTCCCAAGCTGCTGGGATTACAAGCATGAACCACCAAGCCCAGCTCAGAACACTGTAACATTTTAACGTTTTAACATTTTTAACACTTTAACATTTTAACACTTTGACAGCCTCAGAACATTTTAACATCAACTAATCTATGTCTATGAGTGGAAAACCTGTTGGACTTTGAGCAAGTTATTTTGCTCTTCACTTCAGATTCCTAAGGGAAAAATGTTGGAAGTGGACCATTATAGACAAACTCTAAGGTGTCTGCCATGATTCTGATGCTGTTTTCATAAGCCAGTCTCTTTCTCTCACTGATAGATGAAGACAGATGCAGGGCAAGAACCAGAGCAGTCACACCCTGGTGTCTGACACAATTGCTTTTTAAAAATTCTGAGTGTGTCACTTAGTGGCATGTGATTTGGACAATTCATTTAGCCTCCAAAAGACCAACCTAGCTTCACTATAGAATGAGTATGCGAATAGCACTCTTTCCAAGTGTTGTTCTAAGAGGCAAAGTGAGAGGATGCCTATGAGGTGTCACATGGCCTGCATGGAGAAGGTCCATAACATTTGTTAATATGATTGAAAGAGATTGCAGTTGGGACTGTGCCCAAGAACTGTCAACAGGGGAGTGCCAGAGATCTCCTTTCTTGGCTAATTAAGCTTTTGCTTCTCAAAATGAAGGGGAATATACACAAGTGCACATGCATACACACGTACTAATGGATAGACATGCACCCCTTAATTTCATGCTCCTTCCCCTCATATTTACTCTTCAACCTGCTTACCACACATCCCTCCTCCAGAGCACACATCCCAGTCCACCAACAACTCATGCCCTTTAGGCCTCTCCTAAGCCTCAGCCAGACTCACCTCTGGAGCAGCTTGGTAACTCTGGCTCCCATTTGTTTTGGGGCCGGCACTGCACCTGGGTGGATCCTTTCATGACAAAGCCAGGCTGACATCCAAACTCCACCATTTCATTTAAGGAAAATAAGCTTCTGTTTTCAGTTAGCATTATTGCATTTTCAACGTGTGGAGGGGTGCATTTATTAGGTACGATGCACTGTGGGGGAGGGCCGCTCCAGACACCAACTTGATTGTCATGGCTGGTGCAGTATATGGAGGGCTCTCCCATGAGGTGAAAGAGCTTTCTCCCTCTGTCTGCACCGTTGCAGCGATAGGTTACTACCATTCCATAGAGGAAATCTTCTCCATTGGTGTTAATGAAATCTCCATTGGCAATGGCTGGAGGTGGCTCACAAGGAATCCCTGGGAAAAGAACAAATTCAGCAAAATATTGATTTCTTAAAGTTATATTTAACTATAAATTTTGACAATCAGTTAAAAACAAATCCAAATTGCTGAAAAGTATGCATTTATAATACTGTTCTCACATCTTTGCTAATATAGGGACGTGATTTTTTTTGCACAGTTGCAGATTAGGTGACCCACAGTATTATGGGTTGTGCTTTTCCTAGTTACCACTACTTCAAAAAATGTGTTCATATATATTATTATATCCCACATATTTGTTTCTCATTTTAAATGAGGATTTAACTTTCACCATTGTGAATTTCTTTCTTTCTCTGTAGAAGGCATTTGGTTTTATTGCATTGTTTACTAATATGTAAAGTATTTAGTCAAATACCTTTATCAAATGTTCTAATTGCTGATTCACATGTCATCAGAACTGAATACTGTGTCTTGCTATATGTAAATTTGAAAATGAGCATATTAGGAATAAAGATATATTTTGTCAATGTTGACTCAATACAGAAGAAATGGGAAAGTGTATTACAATGCTACTCCTTAAAAAATATGAAGCACAGCTAATTTTACGGACAAATTTAATTCTCAAGTAATAGCTGACTCCTAGGCATTTTAAGTCATCCTAGAATACATAAGATATTTTTATTACTTATTGTCAGATAAACCTCATATTGGGAACTTATTTCTGTAAATCTTTAAGAATATATTCAAGAAGGAGAAATTTATTGGATAAATTGTATGAAATATAGTTAAAATCATCTTTAAAGTCATTTTCTAGAAAATACAGCTAGCTAATGTGTAACCTTTCATGTATACTCCCACACAGATGCCCCCCTCACAAAGCATATTTTTAAAAAATATCTTTGCTGGATAAAAAATATGCCAGTATAAGGATGTGTTATATGATTCCATTTCAAAGAGTTGTTTCTATTGACTCCATAACTCATAATGGTGTATTTTAAGCATTTTTTAAATTTTTATAGTAGAACACATGTTGTTCTTGTAACTAATTCCAGAAAATTCTCTACATTTAGATGACTTTCCCACCATTGTTTAATTGCAAAGAGTAATGTTGATAATATTTACAGAGCAATATCCTTGCAAACCCCTGTGCACTTTTTTTT